ATTTAATGTCATATTTTAGCAAGAAAAACAGCTGTTGTGGTACTTTAAGGCCCAGCATATTTTGGCCAGAGCTGCATGTTGTGGATATTGGCTGAGTCAAGGTTAGCTGTTAAAAGGCAGAAATTCTAGACCCGTATGAAGAAACATCGCGTTCCTCTCTATTCAGATAATATTTACTTCCAAGCCTGTTTTGTTTTGTTTTCTTCTCCCTCCTGGAGCGGGGCCTGGCCCTCGGGCTGTGGCTGCCCTTGGCATCGCCGCTCCCTGGGCAGGACACAGCAGTTTGGGGGAGATGGAAGCAACAGGAAAAGCAGGGGAGGCTCTGCCTGGCACCTCCAACTTGAGATTCGCCCTCCGACTTTCAGCCCTGCCTGGCCTCGAGCCATGCCTTGTGCACAGGGAGAGACAGCAGGGCAGGAGCTGGGATGGGAGGTGAGGGTCCATCCTGGCAGCACAGGCACTGGGGGGAGGTCAGACACTTCCCCACGGTGCCACAGAGAGGAAGGGGACCCACGAGATTCCTGCGTCGGACTTCCATTCCTCCCAAGGGATAAAGATGCCCAAAAAATCCATGGCAGGCAAAGAAGGAACAGAGGGAGTAAGCTCTGGTTCCACCCATCCCCTCCACTCCAGGAGGGGCAGCTCTACCCTGGCTGAGGTGCCAATGGACCTACAAACCCCCCAGTATTAACCCCACAAAAATTAAGTGCAATTTTAATATGGTGTTTTGCATCTTTATCTTTTTATAACTTTGTTTTTTTAGAGCAAATCCAGTTTTTTAAGTTGTCACACATTCAAACACCTGTGCCTAACGCTGGCCCCCAAACTGGCAATGCCCAGGCTGACAGGGGACAGGTCAGTCCCCCACTAAAATGCCTTTGTGTGATGGCTCCTTCCAGTTCCTGCCTGTGCTGTGAGAGCAAACAGAGCTACTGGGGCAACAAAGATCGGGGAGAGGGTGCAATTACAGTGGAAATGAAACCCCCAAAATCCCCAAAAATGGACACACAGCCTCCTGGCTCCCCAGCCCTGCGCTGAGCGCTGTGCCACCCAGGCTGGAAGTGACTCATCTTCTCGTAAAGCTGGTTTGCTAAGGAAGAAAGAAAAGCCCTTGCCCTGAAACAATTCCCCTGCGCTTGCCAAGCTCAGCAGGAGCAATCCACGCCATCCCTGCTTCTCCAGAGCACCCAGTCCCTCCATCTTCAGAGCTGGACCCCTGTCCCCACCACAGCACCAGGGGTTTTCCCCTCCAGTTTTTGCCCCATTCCATGCCATACCCTGAACACAGAGCCACCAAACACAGCCCTGGACGGCTCCCTTACCCCGGACGCTCGGATAAGGAAAGCCGCAGGCAAAAAAAAAAATAAAGGGGGGAAAAAAAAGAAAAAAAAAAAAAAAAAAAAAAAAAAAAAAAAAAAAAAAAAAAAAAAAAAAAAAAAAAAAAAAAAAAAAAAAAGAATAAAAAAAAAAAAAAGTCCAAGGTGGAACCGCAATGTTTATAAAATGGGTCACTGAATTATACATAAAAATATTTTCCTTGTGGATGCAATTACTTCCTGGACTTGTTATTCCACAGATGCTTAAGTTCGCCTCAAGCAACTCCAATAAATGCTTTACAGTCTGCTAGATCAACAGTAGCAGCGCTGGAGCGGATTGAGCAGCGCTGGTTCAAATTTGTCAGAAAACCACACAGTGTTTTCATGCGCACGTTTTAGAAACCCAAACAAAATGATTCCCAACCGTCGTGCTCCCTTTCCTCACGCTTTTTTAATGGCTTTCACATGAGCCCCTCCAGGCACCAGGGGCTCGGGGCACCCAAAAGCTCCAGGGAGCTCCCAGGGAGGAGACAGGGACCGGAGCAGGGGTGACACCTCCCATCGCTGCTCCTTCTTGCTCTCCCGTCTCATCCTCCTGCAAGGTCTGGCTCACCCGTTAGGTACCCGGGGGCAGCGGGATGTAGAACTGGCTTAGGAGGCTTTCCCAAGGGAAATTAATTTCGGGAGCAAGGGGTCGCCCCTACCTGCCGCGGCGGCTGAGGGCGGGTGAGGGAGAGTTCAGGGGCTGGAGGGGACACGCGGCGTGTGGGGTTTAAAAGTGCAATGATAAAATCCCAAAGGAGCTGCTGCAAAGCTGGTGGGATGGGGAAGGAGATGAGGCCATGGATGGATGGTTCCCACGTAGGCACAGGCTGGCTGTAACTCTCCCTCCATGGCAGGGACAAGTATTTCAGTTTTTTCTCCTCTATCCACTCACAACACTCAGAGAAACTCAAGGCGGTGAAGACGCCTCAAGATTCTTTCTAATGCATGTAGGGCTTGGCCCAAAGGCCCCTGAATAAAATTCTGGTCCACCTGGTGCATCTTGAGCTCCTAAAACCTCCAATCTCCTTTTGTTTCAGAGCAATTGAAGGTATTTAGTGTCTCTTTCAGTGACCTTGAACGAGGAAGCCATTGAGGGCTGGGGTGCTGGGGACACCCCAGGATCATAGGGCAGAGCACTGTTACGCCAATAAGATAAACTAAGATCTGCCCAGAAATACTCCAGATTTATTCCAGGACTAACAGGTGGCTGTAACAAGATTATCCATATTACAGATCAACAGTGGAGCAGAAATGTGCTTTCAGGTCTCTGCTTTCACTCCAGATTTCATCCACGAGATTTTCTGTCATCAGGATAAACGGGTTAAAAGGTGCCTGCAAAAATGGACTTATAAGAAACTCCTATTCTCCTGCTTTGGGGACACAGCTGCCTGCCATTCCCTCTCGTATGGGAATCCCAGCTCATCTTTGCCTTTTTATAGGCTACTGCAGCAATCCTGCTACTCTGTCCTGCTTCTCTGCCAGTGGCCAGGGATGGATGGCAGCTGGACACCAGCCTGCCCACGGCTGTGCCACAGCCCCAGTGGGGACACGGCCTTGTCCCCATCCCTTATCCCACAGGGAGTCAGCGGTGGCAGATTCAGCAGGTGATGCACAGCAGGGAACTGAGAGAGCTTCACTCACCTCAGTGAGGACACAAACAGGCTGCATCCCCAAACTCCCAGTAAGCTAAATGATTTATAAGCAATTCCCACCCCACCACCACTGGAAAATGTTTTGCCAAAGGGAGGGAGCTGAGTTTCCCTCTGCCCTCAATCAGCACAGGGACAGGGACACGTCCCCACAGCCAAGCTGCACTCAAGGCTGCACAACCAGCACGGTGCCTTGGAGGTTATACCAAGGGTCCTGCAGGGAATGCACTGGCCTTTTTATTTGGAATTATATCCCAGCACATCTTAATTTTCAATTCAACCACCGCTGAAAAGAAACATAAAATAAAACAGGCCCCAGTGGTGGGGAGGAAGAGAGGGAAAAGGAAGCACCAGGTCTGCCCAAAGCCCCGAATTAGCCACAAAAAAAAAAAAGTTAACATTCCTGTGCTGGATCCCATCCAGGGGATGGAGCAATTTGAGAGATGGGGATGCAGTCACCAGCAAATGGGTGCAGGGTCTGCAGATCCCAGAGCAAAACCCCATGGAAATGGCTGCAGCCAGGGGTAGGAAAAGCACCTTGCTCCTGGGGATGGTCCCTAAATGCCACGAGCATTTTTCTTCCCAAGGCAAAGCAGCTGGGAAACCCAACACAAAAGGTGACCCATAATATGTGGGATTTCACTGTGTCTGGGCACCCCCCCAGCTCCAGGTCTCCAGGTCAGCAGTGCCCAGGTCAGAGGGGTCAGATCCCACCTCAAGGTGTGTCAGTCACTGTGATTTGGGGGTGATGGGCAGAGCAGTGCAGGGGCAGGTGCCCCCTCGGGGAGAGCACAGTATCCCACAGAGCATCTCTGGTACCCACTGCCAGCCCTGACTCCAAACATGCACCAGCTCAGGTGCCCCCCAACTCCTGGTATCCCACTGCAGGCCCCCAGTGCAGCCCCAGCCCAGGCTCTTCCCGGCTGTTGGCGCAGCTCAACCACGCTGTCCCATGCCCTGGCACCCTCCAGCCGCCCCAGCCCTCCCAATTTTGCCATTTTCCGGGCGCTGGAGGCAGCTCCGCGCCGGCGAGGGCTCCAATCTGTTCCTCATTAGGAGGGGCAGACAGCCCAGCGCGGGAGTCTGAGCCCTAATCTCCTTTCCAGTTGGTATCCGTCAGCAGATGTACAACAAGTGGTGGGATATTTTAGCGGGCATTTGTGGGACAGAGCCATTGGCTTTTTTTTTTTTTTCCAGCTGGGAGCAGGGGGTGGGGAGGATGGATAAAATGCCTCTGCTCCAGTCGAGGTTTTGCCGGACGACAGGTCCCGGCAGCGCCTGGGCTGCCAACCCCTGCTCCGCCGGCGCGGGGGTTTATTTTACCAAGGTCTTTGTTGGAAGAAGCGGTGATGAAGTTAACAGCCTGTGAGCCATAATTGGCTCACATTAAATCAAGGAAATGATATGTTTTGTTTTGCCTTTTTTTTTTCTTTTTTTTTTTTTTTTCTTTTTAAATCATATTAAACTGGCAAGAAAACCCGCACGGAGCCAAGGAAGGAGCAAGGCAGCAGCTCTCAGGAATTTTAGGGGGGAGATTTGTGTCCCGAGCTAAACTAAAGAAATTTAGTCCTTGCCATCAAAGGAAAAGAGACTTTGCTTCAAAATACCCGGCAGAAGCAGGCAAGGAAAAGGGGATCCAAAAAAACCCCAGGTTGTGGCATTGCAACAGGCACCAATCCAAGGCCTGTCCCAGCAGCTCAAGAATGCCAACTGGAGATACAAAAAAAAAAAAAAAAAATTCTTTAAAAAATTCTTCTTGAAAGTCATTTTATTTACCTTGCCACCTTTCAACCAACACAGGGTGTCAAAAGCCTTTGGAAGTACTGGATATTTCAGAAACGAACCTTTCTTGGGCTCGTTCTTAAAATTTGTTTTTAGCCCCTGGGGCTGCATCCTGGCTGTGAGCTGAGCTGGGTGAGGGCAGAACTGTCCTCCCAAGGTCATAGGTCATGGGTGGGATAACGCCAGTCCCTCAAGCCTGCCCTGCAGACATCCCTGCAGGGCTCAGCTGGATTCCCATGGATGCTGCCACAGTCACTGTGGTGCAGCCCTGTGCTCACTCATCCTGGATCAGCACTGGGCACTGAGAGCCATCAGGGCTCATCCCAGCAGCCACACCTGAGTTCATCTTGCCCAGTGCTGGATTTTGGGGAAAATCTCAGCTGTTTCCCTGGGATGACCCATCCGAAACACTCTGCTTTCATGTAGCATCACTGCACGGTGACCCCAGCCACAGCATCCAAGCAGGGCAGGACACAGATCTAAGGGGTTTCAAGGACAGACAAGGTCCAGCTCCAATCACCACTGGCTGCATCCCTCCCTCTCTCAGGAGCCACCACAGCCCTGGGGGAATTCAGGCTCCAGAAGAGCATGGCCCTCTGCTGCCCTGACACTGTGTACACCCAAAAGCTGCCACAGAAGACACAGCAAGTGACAAAGCCACCCCATGGCATGGGAAGGGCTGGAAACCCATGACCTGCCCTCAGGTCACCTTTTTATCCACTGAGTTTCACTTGTACCCATAGGCACTGGAAGTTGTGGGTCACAAGATTTCATGTGACCTTAAAAAAAAAAGCCCCACAAGCAGGTAAAAAATATCCCACTTCTGGTAAATCCCCTGCCCAGCTGAAGATCACACGTGTGTCTTCGGCTCATCCCAGCTCCCAGGTTAGCCAGGTCGGAAGTGGGACACCAAAACCACTCACTCTAAGTGTGAGGAGATGAACAACCCTTCCATTTGCATGACAACCAGGAAATCCCCCAAATTCAACCATTCTCTAACTTATGAACAAAAAAAAAAAAAAAAAAATAAAAAACCCAAATACCCTCAGGGGAAAATTCTAATTTTGTTTGGAAATGTCATTTCCAAACGGCACATGAGAAATCACACCCTGACCCAGCCTTGCTGACAGGCAAATATTTATCCCCACAAAATTTCCACATAAACCCATCACTTTTGTCAGTAGGTCTGGACACCGGGAGCAGAGTGGGAAGGCAGCAAGAGGGGAGCCAGGAGGCACAGGGAGCAGCAGCCCTGCCCGGCGGGTCAGAGCTGCAGCCACTGCGAGCCCCCCCGCCCGGGTCACTGCAAACAGGGCTCCTCCAGACTCATTCTGAGGCAAGATGCAGCCTTTTCCAACGCACTCATAGCAAGGATCTAATATTTTTTTCAAAAAAACTAGTTGTACCTTTTTTTTCCAACACACTAACGGCATGCCAGCCTCTGCTCCCAAACCCCGCAGCACTCCATCATTCAGCTCCGCGTCGGAGCGGAGAGGATCCTGTCTGACACACATTTCTCAGTCTATTAGGCAGAGTTATTCCTCTGCTCTGTGTTTTGATACTTACAAAGCCATTACCATCCCTCGCATGCACATCCATCATCGGGCCTTCAAACTCCAGAAAGTCCCAAAAAAACTATTTTCCACTCACCATGCAGCCTGCCAGGCTCTGTTCTTCTACTCTGCGTTCCTTCATCCATCGAAAGACATTTCAGCAAGTGCAGAGTCCAACAAAATAAACAGATGGCAGCCTGAAAGGTGGTGATTTTCTTCTCTGTGGGGGGAGTGGGGTGAGGGTTACAGCCAGGGAAGAGCTGAGTTCTGTCTGCCCGGTTGGAAGAGCTAACCTGGGCTCCAGGTGCCGATGCCCACCAGGAGCTGGGGGCACAGGCGCTGTTCTGCAAAGCCATGGGGTCTTGGAAAGCCATGGGGGCAGCAGCCATAGATGCCACTTGGGCTCAGAGTCCCCCAGTTCCACAAGCACCACACCTCAGGGGTGCGTCCAGCACAGTGCCAGCCCCCACCAAGCACCCACCGTCCATCCATGTGCCTCCAGCCACTCCCTGGATGGCTCTGGAAACCTGGCACGTGCTGTTTAGCAAAGAGAAGGTTCATCATCGTACCTCTGCACTGCCCTGGTGGCTCCCTATCCCCAAAATCACCTTCATGCACCCGCAGAGCACCAGAGTGCTGCAAAACACCGGCTCTGCTCCAGCCTCAGGGGATGTGGGCAATGCAGAGAGAACCATCCCTGCCCCAGCCCAGGGCAAACCAGCCCCGGGGCTGCCCTGACCTGATGCAGGCACTGGGTGTTATTGCATCCTGACCCAGCAATCACCAGCTCAGACACACGGGAAGATTTATGGGAAGATGTGGCCAGATGAGCGAGAGAGATGAACAGCCCTGAGGAGTGACTGATTTCTCCCCCACAAGAGGAATAGAAATTAATTTATGAATTGGGTTAGTTGAGTTGCCAAGTGGCTTTGATGCCGTTTATTTTTTTGCATATGTTCATGATCTATCTCACAGCTGGCAGGGGGGGAGGAAGGTCCTGGGGAGCCCGAGCAATGCATCACTCCAGACGAGGCAGCCAACAGCTCTCAACAAAACCAGATTGCCCTTTAATCGGCCACAGGCTGGTCTGCTCTTTCCCCAAGTGGGTACCTCATCCCTCCCCAGCTCACCCTCGAGCACCTGGAGCCCTGTTGCTGCTGCAGAGGTGGGGAATGGGGCAGAAGCCACTTCCCTGAGTCAAAGTACAGCCCACCAGAGACAACGGTGACACAGAGTCTTCCTTCACCTTACCCACTCTTGTGTGTTTTGGTAGGACCTGCAGCAAGTCAGGACAGACCCCAGGGAGATTTGGAGCAGGAACAGGGTGGTGGGTGCTTTATTCCTAAAACATGGAAAGCAGAGTGAGGACCTGTTACACCACACCAGAGGGAGCCCCCCTTCCCTGAGAGGACAAGAGGGACAGACCTGTCTGGGGGCTCAGCCCTGAGCTGAGATCAGTGCAGGCTCTGGCTCCCCCTGAGCCTCCTGGTGTTACAGGTGCTTGGAGGTTTTTCAAAGAAACAAAGTAATTTCCTGCTTGAAGCAGCTGACAAATCGGCACAGAAACTGGATAACCCTCCACGTTTCAGGGAGATCCCACTGCTCCAGCTCAGGGCTGCAAAACCATGCAGTGGGAGCAAACCCAGGCTCGTGGAGCAAAGTGGATGCTAGAGATGTGACCGATGACATCTGCTGATGGAGGGGGATTCCAGAGTGCAGGGACCAGCTCCAGGTCTGTTGTGACATGCCTGCTCAGACCAACACGGTGCTGGAAATTTTTTGGATGAGCTGGCCTGCCACCCAGATATCCCCCCCCAGTCCATGACCTTTCTTCCTGCGGAGAAATTGGAGCCCCGAGTGCCTGAGTCAGCTGTAAATCCCCAGCATGGATCAGACAGATCAACCACCAGCACTTGGTGGTTGCAGAAGGGGAACCAGTTCACAAAGAGGGAAGACGTAGCAGGTCCTGACTGACACTGAAAGATCACTGCAGCTCCCACACAGGCTTGGGGCTGAAGAAACCATCCAGGTGGTCCCAAAAACACCAGGGGACAAGGTGAATGATGGAAACAAAAGGTGCACTACAGTAGTTCAGGGAAATACATCTTTTGCTAATTAAATCCCACTAGCTTTGGCCACTTTCCACCCCTTTCCTACAGGGTGAGTTTGGACCTTGCTGCCCCCCAGGACCTGCAGATGTCCCAGCACAGTGCTGCCCCCGGAGCCCAGTGAGGTTGGGAGGATCAGGGCAAGGGGGCCAAGGCACCCATGGGCAGCCTGGGGCCCCTGGTAGGTGCAGAGATCCCACTGTCCCTTTTCCATTTTCATCAGTGCTCTTCATCCCCATCACCTGCTCCCTGCACCCACTCCATATTCACCTCCCTCTTGTTGCCTCTCCTTCCTCAGCTCTGGTTTACTCTGAAAATCCCTTCCCCAGGGTGGCTCTGGAGACTGACACAGGCACAATTTACCCTTGCAAAGAGAAGGAGCATTTTTACCAGTCTAACAGTTCCTCAAGGGGAGGGACATGACCTTAGCAAAGGGACGTTTCTCCTGGTGAAAACACTTCTGCGAGGATTGTCCCTGCAAATGCCACTGCAGTGACAGGGTTTGGTGTCGATGCAGCCACAGGGTGAAGACTTTAGGGCACCATTGTCACCCCATGGTGCCATTGTCACCCCGTGGGCCTTTTCCTGCTGGTTTTCCGGCCCCCCCAGTTTCCTTTCAGGGGCCAGCCAGGCTCAAACCCACGAGGCACAGATTTCTCTGATTAGGCAAGGCCAAGCAGCCTCTCCCCTTTCGTTTTCAGCCGCCTCTTCCTCCCTTTCCCCGTGGGCAGCCCCAGCATCCGCCCCAGGCGCAGCAGCACCGGCACCACAACAGGCACCAGGCACTGCCATGGATCCGAGTGCACGGGAGCCCCTGGTGAGGAAAACGAGCTCCTCGTACCAGACCTTCCCCGAGAGCACTGTCAGGAGGCTCGACAAGGAGTACCTGCGGTAAGGGCCGGGTTGGAGCCATGGGGTGGGCTGTGCCCCCCCATCCCGAGGGCACTGGGCTGGAGGGAGCTGAGTGGAAGAGCTATTTCATGGTGCTGCTCCTTCCAAGCTGCCTTGAGATGGGGTCTCGTCCTGACCAAGGGTGTGTGGTGCTGGATGAGCCCACTTGGAAGACCGATGGGTCGGTGTGATTTGGGGCTGCGACTGCCATGGGGGGCATGAGGTCCTGCTGGGGGGCATGGGGGGCTTTGAAAGAACCTTCTCCCTGCTCTGCCGGGACGAGCCAGCCGCCAGCTGGGTCTGTGGGGCCACCCAGCTCCAGCTTCTGCTTTTCTTGATTTGTTGAACCCTCTGAACACCGCCTGGCACAGAGGGAAGGATCAGTGGTGCCCAGAGCAGACAGGGTCCCACTACCCACCACGCAGCAGGAGCTCAGAGAAACCCCACGAGCCCGAGGCTGTGCAGAGGCATTCCCCAGGAAAATCCCTCCACGGATGTCATGAGGGCCTCGGCAAAGGCTGGGGGAAGCTGCAGGATAGAATTTAAACTTCTGCTGGGTGGAATAAGGGCGCCCAACACATCCTTTTCTCTCTCCGTCCCTCCCTCAGGAGCCTCCACAACAAGCGGCTCTACCTGGCCGTGTTTGCCGCTGTCCTGGGGAACTTCAGCTTCGGCTTCGCCCTGGTTTACCCCTCGCCCGTCATCCCTGCCCTGGAGGCTCATCCCAGCCCCGCGCTGAGGCTGGACCAGCACACAGCGCCCTGGTTCGGGGTGAGGAGCGGGGCTGTCCCTGCCGGGGCGTGGGGCAGGGCCGGAGGGTGAGCCCGGTCTCACCACAGCCCCTCTCGCTGCCCCCGCAGTCGGTGTTCACGCTGGGAGCGGCGGCGGGGGGGCTCAGCACCATGATGCTCAACGACTGCCTGGGCCGCAAGCTCAGCATCATGTTCTCGGCGCTGCCCTCGGCCGTGGGATACGCACTGATGGCCAGTGCCCAGGGCGTCTGGATGCTGCTGCTGGGCCGGCTGCTGACGGGCTACGCCGGCGGAGTGACCTCCGCCTCCATCCCGGTAAAGTGCCGCGGGAGGGAGTTTGCCAGGGAATCGCAGGGCGGGAGATGCCGCGATGTGCGGCTGAGGCATCGGCAGGGCTGCAGGGCTGCGGCTGGGAGAAGGGGGATGGGGACGGTGCACCGGGTTAGCAGCCCTGGCGTGGCCAGCCTGAGCCGGTGCCTGCAGAAAAGCAAAGGCAGGTCCTAAACCCTGCGGGATTATTTCCTCCCAAGCACCGCCCTCGCGCAGAGGGGAAGGCAAGGATTGAGGAACACCAGGGCACCTCTTTCCAGTAACAGAGTCCAGGCACTTCTCCCGTGCCGGGGGGAGGGAGGGAAGTGGCGGTGCGGGCCAGACTGTCCTCTCCCCCAGCCAGGACAGCTCGTGCCGCTGGACCACTCGGGTCTCCGCCCCAAGCGGGCAATTTCCCAGCAATTTGAGTTTCCCTTGGCCACCGAGGACGACGGCAAGGTGGCAGAGGGCAGGCTTGGGGGGTGAGAAGTGGATGTTGATGCTCTGTAAAGCGTGCGTTGTCCTGTCTGCAGGTTTACATCTCGGAGATCTCTCACCCCGGGGTCAGGGGCATGCTGGGTGCCTGCCCTCAGATCATGGCAGTGCTGGGCTCCCTCGTCCTGTATGCCCTGGGCAAGTATCTCGGTGTTCTGGGGGCAGGAAACCCTCAGTGGGACTGCAGGGAAGGGGAGTTGAAAATAAGCAACTTTCTCAGCTGGTTGATGGATTCTTCCCCTCAACGCCCACCACCACAGGGGTGCTAAATTCCCCCATATCGTACAGCTGGAAATGCTACTTTTCTAGGAGAAAATATATGAATTCATTTTTTTTTTAATTATTACTATTATTAGTTTTCCTGCTGGATTTATTAAATTACTGGGGGGACCAGGTGGAGGCAGGGCCAGGACACCCACCCCTGTGTGCTTTCCCCCCTAACTGTTCTGCTCTGGCAGGGCTGGTCCTGGACTGGCGCTGGCTGGCCGTCGCCGGGGAGGTGCCAGTGCTTGCCATGATCATCCTGCTCTGCTTCATGCCCAACTCTCCCCGGTTCCTGCTGTCCCAGGGGAAGGAGGAGGAGGCCCTGGAATCCTTGTGCTGGCTGCGGGGCAAAGACACAGACTATGCCCGGGAATACGAGCAGATCAAGGACAGCGTGAGGAAGCAGGTGAGGAGGCTCGATGCCAGCACAGGGAAATGTAACATGAAAACTGCAAAATCCATCCTTTGGGCAACTCCTAAGCCATCCTCTGGGTGCCCCAGTGGTGCCCAGAGGTGCTAACACTTTGGGTTTCTGGCTTTGTCCCCTCCAGAGCCGTCGTGTCTCCTGTGCTGAGATCAAGGACCCCTTCCTTTACAAGCCCATCCTGATTGCAGGGGTAATGAGGTTCCTGCAGCAGCTCTCAGGTGTCACCTGCATCCTCGTGTACCTGCAGTCAATATTCAAGAGAACATCCGTGATCCTGGTGAGCCCTGGGGTTCAGCCCCTGCTCGGGCTGCCTTGGCTGCAGTGAGGGTTGCCCAATGCTCCAAGTCCCCTACAGACATAAGATCCCAACTGGGAAGTGTTTTTTTTAAAGCACTGCTTGGCAGCAATTGCCAAGCACCTGCCCTGCAAGAAGCTGCATGAGGATGGGGAGCAGGACTGGCCTCACTGTCTCCCTGCTCTCCTCCTCTGAGCTTCAGGAATATCTTCTCCAGTTTCTTACAAGGAGAATGGCTTTGGCCAAGTCATCAGCCAGGTCAAGGCAGCACCTGTAGCATAATTTTCCCCTTCCCTGGCTGTCCCAGCTCAGCTTCCCTTGGTGTTTTTTTTTGCAGAAACCAGAGTATGATGCAGCTCTTGTTGGCTTGGTACGTCTGTTCTCGGTGGCGATCGCTGCCGTGTCGATGGATAAAGCTGGGAGGAAAATTCTTCTCTTTGTATCAGGTGTGTCTCCCTCCCACTGTTGTGCAAAGGAAGCTCTTATTTAAGGATTTCCAGGAGCTCTGCAAATATGCAGGAGGCAAAAATTCAGCCCTACAGGACTCAGGAAGGGAGGTGGGGGGGTCTCTTTCCCTCAGTGGTGGCTCATCTCCTCAGCAGAGGTTTTTTTCAGGAGCCCAGTCCTTGGCACAGAGGGGATCACTCACCTGTTGTTCCCACTTTGCTGTTGTACCTCTCCACAGCTGGTGTCATGCTGGCCTCCAACCTGACCATGGGGATCTATATCCACTTCATGCCAGCTTCTCACAACAGCACCATTGCCAACCAGACCCTGGTGAGCTCTGCCAGCCTTCCCGCTGAGCCAACCAACTACATCACCCTCATCCCCCTCCTGGCAACCATGTTCTTCATAATGGGTAGGTGCAGAGGGCCCAGGAACCCCAGCACAGGGCTGGGGACTTGCTGGGGGATGTTTCTCACCTGAGGCTCAGTGATACAGGGCAAGGAGGTTGGGTTTGGAGTTGGAAGGACAGCAGATGACCCTGAAGAGAAAAAAAAGATGGCAACTGAAGTTGCTTTGAGGACTGACAGCAGGAGTGGAGGAGATGATGATTGCTGGGGTTGCAGGGCAGGATTTCACAGGGCTCTTCTGCGCTCCTCAGGGAGCTTTGAAGCCTCAGCAGCCTCACCTTACCCTCCTCCCCTGCAGGTTATGCCTTGGGCTGGGGCCCTATCACCTGGCTGCTGATGTCAGAGATCCTCCCTCTGAAAGCCAGAGGGGTGGCCTCGGGCCTCTGTGTCATCGTGAGCTGGCTGACAGCCTTCACCCTGACCCAGTTCTTCCTGCCAGTCGTGGTGGGTACTGCCCAGGGACGTGTCCAGCAGCCCCACCTTGGCCCATCTGCTCCAGCTCACATCTGCTATCTGTCCCCCCTTCCAGAACGCCTTCGGCCTCGAGGTGCCCTTCCTGTTCTTCGCTGTCATCAGCGCTGGGAACATCTTATTCACGGGCTGCTGCGTCCCCGAAACCAAGGGCAGGTCCCTGGAGCAGATCGAGGCCTTCTTCAGGACTGGCCGGAGGTCGTTCATGAGGAGGTAGGAGCTGCCAGCCAGCACCAGCCGTGCCAGGCCGCCCATCCACAGGCTCGAGGGCAAAGCAAACATGGTGCTGCTGGAGGTGGGGGCTGGAGCTCCCCGTGACGGCGCCGGGAGAGGAACGGGCGGTCGATCGTCTCGCTTTGGGTGCAGAAGGTGCCAACTGGAACTTTACCTTCTCTTCCCGTCACTCAACACTACCTGTTGCCCTCTGGGCAACGTGTCAACCCACGGATGGGGCCGGGGAAACGGTGCCAGGCTGGAGATAAAGGTGTCCTGGAAAATAAGGGCGAGGCTGTGGGCAGGAGAGCTCGGACATCCTGTGCTCAGCAGCCACCAAAGCAGCCCAAGAGCCTGAGGGTTTGGCTGGAGCAGAGTTAGCAGCTGGAGCCGTTCTGGCAAAAGCTCATCATGCAGTTGCAAGAATAAACCAGTTTTGCCTCCAACTGCAAGATTTTGTCTTGATTTAGGGAGAAGGGAGCTGCTTGTGGGTGGGATAGGGGGGGCAGAGCAGGACTGTGGCAAGGGGAGCACAGCAGACTGCACCTTCCTTGAGTCTTGTGTACTCAAGGACCGTGAAAGAGGCAGAGCCAGGTATTTTGTATAAAAAGCTGCCACGTTTTATTGCTCTAAAAACACACATTACACTAGAAGCCTAATGATCAGGACCAAATACAGTTCACAAAGAAAACCCAGGACAAAAAGAACGGGAACAGACAAACATTCAGCTGCAGTGCAAGTGATACACTGTAGGAAAGACACAGTGAGTATTGACAACACTTGGTACGGGGGTGGGTCCTTCCCACCACAAAGAGAAAGGTGGATGTGCCTCCACCACAGTTGTGTGGAACCTCCATCACTTTGAGATTTCAGCTGCATAGTTAGGAGCAAATTGCTCTGACCCCTTTCCTGTGTGTCCTGCAAGATTAAGGTCTTTTTTCAATTCTCTTTCAGAGCCCAACCCTAGGTAAAACACAGCTGCAGGAAGAGGTTATGACAGTGAGGAACTAATGGCCTTGCTGAGTCTCACATCCAACCTAACTCCTCCCAAAAGGGCAGAACAACAAAGGCTGAGCTGGGAGATGATGTGCCCAGGCATTTGTCCAACCTCCTGAAATGCACTTGGCACCCCGAGGGCTGGTGGAGATGGTTGTACCCTCCCACTCTTGGAACACTAAACCTGCCGTCACAAGGAAGCAGGGGGTAAAACAGCATATGTGGCCCAGCCCTTAAGATATGCCAGCTGCCATTTAGATCCCCAGCAGCAGCAGCAGAGAGAAATTACCTAAGAGAAGATGTGCTTTATCACAGCATTAATTTAAAGCAGCCTGGGACAGAGGAAGAGAGATGGGCCAAAATAAAAAACACAGAGAACATTCAGTATTAAACCCACCCTTTGCTGCTGAGACCCTTTTCCAGAAAGATGTTCAGCCCTAGCTGGAATATGACTGTTTCTAAGCATGGCCTGACTACCAGAGCTCTCAAGAGCCTCTGGTTTCCACTGACCTTCTGAAGATCAGGATCTCTGGCAGCCCTGTGCTAGAAAGTTCTCTTTCTCACATGGCCATGGACCAGGTCTTGATATCTTCAGTGAAACCCTTCCCTGAAGACAGTGGATGTTTTTTTCCTGAGGAAAAAAATGACAAAGATGAATTGAGCTTCCCAGGGCTCAGCCTAAGGAGAAAGTGCCCAAATATGAAATGAGGTTGGACTCTTCAGGTCCTGCGAGAACCTCACTAGAGAAGTATTTTCTGAGTGGCCTCCCTTCTTCAGTATAGAAAGTCTGAGGGTTTTTGCTACAACATTTTAGAGTCTGAGAAATCACAGTGGCTCTTTCCAGAGGTAGAATGGTCTTTTTATTCACTGCACACACAGAGAATCAATTGGTGTTACAAAACCAGCTCCTGCCCAGAGCAGCGAGGTCTGGGTCTGCAGCAGAGAGCGAGCTCTGCTCTGCTCTTCACGCCCAGTGGGCAGCCCCAGGGGACAGTGGAGCTGACAGGCACGAGTGCTGTCAGCTCCACAGCTGAACAGGACATGGAATGGTTGCACTCTGTGTAAATGCTGACGTGGTGACTGGTGTAACAGCCCACTGCCAGGGGCACGTGTGCTGCCAGTGCCCAGGTGCCAACAGCTCACTGTAGCCAATGCATCGCCCACTCCTGAGATCTCACATAACAAACTTTCTATCCCACGGTCTCCCAGGAAGCCTTTTCCAGACCTGGCAAGCAGAACCTCTTCTACAGACAGCCCGTGGATCAGCCATCCAGCCTGGCTGCCATCAGCAGGGATCAGGTCGAGCCTGTAAAACCTCCAGAGCAGGGTCTGAACTTCATTTGTCCTTACACAGCTCCAGGCACCCCGAGGGTGCCTCTAAACACAACTAATAACCACCATGCACTGTGAATGGGCACGTTAACTACTGTGATGCTACTACTCTAAAGGTCCTTTCTATCTCCACAAAACAGTTTCTTGCCCACAAGGAGGTGAGACCATCCACTAACTCTTGCTACAACTCTTAAAAGCCATGGGTGCTGTCACTAAGCCTCTCTGCAATGATGGCAGCACGTGCCTTGGTTTCAGCTGCATCAGCCAGCCAAAATTCCCAAGAGTTCCCACTCCAGACAGGCACCTGTAGGAGTGAGCACTCCTGGAGCACAGATCTGTGACTCACCCCGTTGTGGCAGGCACAGAGACACTTCAAGCACTGTGGCTGAAGGCTCCAGCTTGGCTCTTTCAAAAAGAGTCCCTGAGGCCCATTTTTCAGCTCAGAGCTGAGCTTTGCATCCCACTCACAGTGGCAGATTGATGCAGATTGTTCACTTGCCTCGGCCCCAGGGTCAGGCCCCTCTGCCACAAAACACACCATGACAGCACTATTGGCATCCAAGGGACTTCTGCCTCGGTGCCAAGGGAGCACAGAGGGCCTGTCTGTGCCAAGGAGCCCTCCAGGTGACCTGGAGCAGCACCTGCCTGCCCCAGCCCCAGGGACCACTGCTGGTCCCTGGCATCAGGACAGTCAGGTGAAGGCACAAGGGTCCCACCGGTTCTGTGGCTCCTCAGAGCAGCCTGCAAGTGTTACCCCAAAGCCTCTGCTTTGCCTTTCACCTCCTGCCACTAAACTGCTGTGGAACTACTCACAGAGCAAAGCAGTCACTACCAAAGACATGCTCATGGTTACGTGCACCAGTCTGCAACATTCCTCTACTAAACACTACAGAACTCCCCAAACCCCAAACAGCACTCAGCCCCCAGCCTTTCTCAGGCCACAGCACAACCCCTCTGCTCCCCAGAGCTGCTGGGGACACGAAGGGTCGTGGCAGCTCCAACCCAGCAGTTACAGCCCAGTTTTTCTGCCTCCCCTCTCCCAGAAGAGGGGGGAAACACACTTTGTCAAGCCAGTGACCCAGAACAGGACAAAGGGGTCAAAGGATAACACACTTTTCAGAAGTCTGAGTAACGCTCTGACGGCTGAAATTGGATTTTGCAGCATTCCTGTTACAGCAGCCAGGGCTGTCCCTGCTGAAAGAGACCCCTGGTGAAAGAGGCAGCCCTTTGAAGGACAGGAAACAGAGCACTCCTTTCTCCTATACCCAGAGAAAATGAGTCCCATCAAAATACTTAAATAACTAGAAATAAATTATTCCCCTTTTTCCTAATCAAAACAAAAAGCAACCATGTAAAAATCAAATAAATTAAACCCCCCCCAGAAAAAAACGTGAAGAGAAGAGCGGGGTCTGGAAGAGGAACAGTTCTGTGTTGCGTGGTACAAAGCAAACAGAAAATACAACATGAAAACCATTGACAGAGCCTGGAATAATGAAGCAAGACACCCCAGCTGTCCACAACAAAATGGTGCAGCCTCTTCTCTGCTTGCACAGGAAGGATATTCAACCCTTCCATGCAAACCCAGCTCAGGACTGATGCCAAAAGAACAAGAGCTCGAAGACAAAAGGCTGTACCAGGCAAGCAAAGAGCAGGTCCCTTCCACAGAGGGATGGGTCGCAGGCTCACAGGAGAAGGATGCTCACACCAGCAGAAATTCCCACTTGGCTCAAGCAACAATACCCTTTTCCAGCTGAGGTACAGCAAACATTGTTTTCCTTCTGCCCCAGTAGAAGAGTGAAGCTTAAGAAAAATGCCCTTATTAAGACAAAGAAATTAATTCTTAAAATTCAAGTAAATCACAGTAACTGCCTGCAGCCGTGTCCAGAGGAAGCAGGGACTGTGCTTTGTAGGTCCCAGGATCTGCCCCAGCATCTCTGGCAGCTCCTCTGCAGAGATAGTTATTGTCTTTATGTTTTTTTTTTTCTGGAAGTCCTTTCCCACAAGACCAGCACAGGCAAGGAGCTGGCAGGTCACCTCTGCCTCTCCTCACCCATCCCGAGAGCAGTTCCCAAAGGGGCACTCCCAAAAAAAAGGCTGCCCGTTCAGGCTGGGAAAGCAGCACTCAAGAGAGCCAGCACCTCTGCAGCAAAAAGAAAAAAAAATATTAAAAAAATAAAGGGACTGTGAGATATTTGGTTGAGGGTTGAGGAGGAGAGAGGGACCAACATGCTGAGTTCGGGCTGCTGGTGTGAGAAGAGGGCACAGCCTGCCCCAGCCCCTGAGATTTCCAGTTGCTGCAGTGCCCAGGGAAATCGCGGCGTAGCAGAGAGGGGAGCAGGCACAGGGAAGGGCAGAGTGGATTTCCATATCTTCACCATCTCAGCGTTCAGGAGAGGTTACTCCGTGTGCCTCAGAGACCCTGTCCCTCCAGGGTGCCCGTGAGCTTCTCCTCATCCATTTGCTTCTGCTGCTGGTGGATCCGAGCGTAGGAAATGGCATCTCCCCTGTGGAGAGAAGGGACAGCGTGGGGGTGTGAACTCCAGGTGCCCACCGTGGTGGGTACAGCCCCTGGCAGAGACATCTCCCAGCTGGGGCCTGGCTCGACCTGGCTCATCCCTGGCCACCCGTGCTGAGGGATGCCAACAGTGAAACGAGACCTGCTGGCCCTCCCAACGCCCCACCAAAGCTGCTCCTTGTCCCAGAGATGGGCCCATCCACTCAAGAGCTGCAGAAAGAGGGTTGGGACCCTCAGGGCAACCTCATCTGAACTCCCAAAAGCTCACAGCTTCAGCAGACCCTGGGGCCTTCCTCCCCGGGGCTCTGGGATGATGAGGGGGAGATTTTCTCTGGGAGCATTTACACCGAAAAGCAGGGGTAGTGCAAGAGGAAAGCAGAGCCTTAGGGAGGCAGATGGGGCGAGGGCTGGAGCTCCACCTCCCCCTCCCCAGGCAGACAAATGTCTCTTACTTCTTGCCCAGTGCCGACAGACCGTAAAGGACCCCGGTGGCGAAGGCGATGGCGTTTCCAAAGAGCGTGGTCAGCGTCAGGCTGAGCATGACAGGGAACACGGCCATCCTGGAAGACAGAGGCAGCCCTCAGAGCCTGGCTCCCCTCCCCACGGGGTGCAGGGGTGCTCATCCCCCAAGCTGTGCCCACGTGCAGCCCCACCAGGAGCCCAGAGCGTCCTCACCCGCAGTAAAAAGCTGCTTTCTGCCAGGCCCGCAGCTTGTCCGCCCTGGCGGAGACGGCGTTGGCGAACTCGATGAACTGGCAGCAGAAAGGGGCTTCACACAGGAACAGGACAAAGGCGTTGAGCCTCCAGACAGAGCAAACCAGAGTTAATCCAGCCCGGAGTGGGGGTCAGCAATTCCCCTCCAGCCCCCCAGAGACCACCTGCTCCGTGCCCAAATGCGGGTGAAGGGAATGGTGAGGCTGGACCCCACGGTGCTCCCCCCCTTCTCCTTGATAATTCCCAAACCCTGGTGCTCTACGCTTACTCTGGTCAAGTGTATCTGAGTATTTACCCAAGAAGACATAAAGAAATAACAAATAGAATAAACTCAACGTCTCAACCTGCCTGGCAGAGCAAGATCTGGGAATTCCCAGAGTCTGAGGGATGTTTCGCTTCCATCCACTGCCCAAGTAGAGCAGCTCTGCCCCTTCCTCAGAGGACTCTCACTAACAGAACCTCCCTCCCAGCAGAAAAACAAAAGCAAACTCTGCTCACATCATCCACACGCCGGCCGCGATGTTCAGGGGGTTGATGGTGACACAGTTCCAGAGACCAGCGATGGCACAGGCTGGAAAGAAAGAGATTTTCAGTGACCACGAACACAACCCTGCACGCCCACGGTCAGGAGCCCTTGGCCAGCACCTCTAGGCACTGCAGAGAAGCACAAGAGGGTGGGTGGAAAGTTCTGATGGTCTGAAAGGAGCCCGGGAGAGAGTTTCCTCCCAGCTCCTCTGACTGGGTATCCTTTTGCTCCAAGCACTTGGGTATCTCAGCGTGACACTTGCACGACTATTTCCCTTGTGCAGAACAGCAGAGTGTTTGCTTTTATGTGATTTTTACGTGCACCTGATTTTTACGCATCAAGGAATTAGGTGCCTTTGTCCTGGGGTGAACAAAGCAGTGCCAGCAGGCACCACCTCTGAGCAGCACAGGGGAAGTTCAGCAAAAACATGACTTGCACACAGGCAAACAATAAACAGAGCAGAGGTGAGCCCTGTCTCCACCACATGCTGCTGGTCCTGTGCAGCTCCACTAGAGATGGGCAGAAGAGAGCCAAGTTTGGGTCTCTGCTAATACAAATGGAAGCAAACAAAGCAGAGCCCAAAATAGCCCCAGCACTCCTGACTCTTAACCCAAGGAGAGGAACCAGGCAGCAGCGACCAAGCAGAGCTGCATCCACCTCCTTCCTGCCTCATTAAACTTGCAGAGTGTTCCTGGCACCTGATACAACCCCTTCCTTCTGCTGATGCCAGACAGCGACCGCTGCACACCGGGAACCCGAGCCCAGGTGGGAGGGCAGAGACATGGGCTGAGTCCACAGTAAACAACACCAGCCTGAAAAACTCCAGCTAAAATTAATTCTACAGCCCTTAAAGGCCGTTGTGGGGTTGATCTCAGCAGAGTCCCTCTCTGAGAATGACACCAGCCTGGGATCGGGGATTTCAGGTGTGTCTGCTAAGGGCATCCCTGAGCAGAGCTGCTGTGAGCAGCCCTGACCTTCAAAAGCCTGGCATATGCTTGCAAGGTTTCTTTCAAGCAGTCACTGCTGAATCCTCAAAGTTCCTTTAAAAATAGTTATCCTTATTTACTGGGCTGGGAAGCAGAATTGCAGGCAACAACAAGATCGATCGAAGGTCATCCCACAAGCAAATGACCTCCTGGTTTTAGGAAACACCAAACAAGGTTAATTTCAAACATATCCTAGAACTAATTCCACAGGACCCAAAATCTTTTGGGAGAATCCTGCCAGAACAAGATCAGCCAGCAGAAATGCCAGAGGATATATTAACATCCATGCTCCAAGGGCGCTTCTCATCCTCCCATCTCAGAGAGACCAGTGTCAGTGTCCCCACACTGCAGGAGAAACTGAGGCACTGGGGTGGGATGATCTACTCCAAAGCCACACATCCAAACAGCTGGAGAGCTGGAAAAGCAATTGGAAGCAGGATTGCTGGGAGCAGCACAAAGGGCAGGGCACAACACCGGGGGCTCTAATTCTGTGTGGCAAACAAACCCCTGGATGCTGATGGAAGGGGAGATCAGGGGAAGCACTGCAGGCTTGTGGCACTCGCTCTTCCCCACAGGAAAGCACGCTCCTGACAATAATGCTGAACGACTTTCTGGCACTTCATAATTAGCAGAGCAGCAGAAACTGTGAACTATCCGTAAAACACGGGGTTGGGGCAAGACCCTGCCTGGCTGAGCAGCACAGCAGAGCGTAGAGGTCCAGGCAGTTCCCATCCCAGCTGGTCTCCACCACAGAACAAACCAAGGGAAGCAGAATGTTCTTTTCCAAGCAAGTTTTTGGCCTTATCCTTTTTTTTTAATCAAGCCAACCAGGTGTTTTTTGCCAGGGTTCTGGTTTGGTTCTCAAACACCCCAACACGACCCTTGAGCGCTGAGTGTCCCTGCAGCGGTGTCAGCTCAGCAATCAACCTTGTTGCCAATGGACTAATGAACCAGGAAGCCTGAGCTGAGCAAGTCCCTACGTCAGCAGGAGCACCAACCAGCAGGAAGGGAGTCAAAGGTTTGGGATTGCAGGAACACTGCACTCAGAGGTGGCTGCCAACAGCCACAGAGGCAGATAACAAGCCGGTGACCTTGGGCCTCCTTTGCAGAGCAGCACATCCCACAGCAGCCCGGTGCATCCCTGTCCCACCGGGGCAGGATCAGCTCCTGCCTCAGCAGCCAAGAGGGGACTGAGCTGCCAAGCCAGGGATTTCTTTCTGCAAAACAGAGGCCTCACGATAGGGTTAAAATGCAGATAATGCTCAGTGGCACGTCAGCTATGGAAGACAGACAGTTCTGCCATTTGTTTAACCGCTGTCCCATCTTGAATCCCTGAGGAAGCACAAATAACTGGGAGCTAAAATGAGGGGGGAAGGACACCCTTCCCCACAAAGGCTCTATTCATTTCCAGCAGCTGGTCACTGTCCTCAACACAAGCCTATTTTTGCTCCTAGAGCATTTTACAAAAGCCACAGACTCTCCTCGTCCTATTACAAACAGGAACACAAGGGAGAGAAGGGACTTGGCCAAGGTCACCAAGCCAGCGTGTGCAAGAGCCAGAGACAGATCCTGAACCTTGTCTGTCTGGTTCCTGCTCCAGCCCCTGGACTTTTCTGGCTTAAGCAAGTTGTGGCTGCAGGTGTTAGATGTTGTCTGCCGGCCTCACCTCCACTTAGAAAGTTTCTCTTCTTTTCTATGGGGAATTTTTCCTTCTGTTAGAAATAATCCACCCCTGTAGCAGCACCACAATCCTTGTAAATGAGTTCTGTTCTTTCACAGCAAGCTCTGGGAACAGCAGCAAACTCCAGCCTGGCTGTTTTATTCAGCACCTCTTCTCCAAACCATCCACCTTCAACAAGGTGATGCTGAACAAGCAGCATTTTGAAGAGGAACGTTACCAGCAAAGGGCACTGATTGAGTCCCCCATTTCTGTGGTCATAAGGAGAGTTTGTGTCTCACTGCCTCACAAACCTCATGGAGGGAGACAATCAGGGCTACAGAACAAGCTGTCACTCCCCAGATTTTTGGCAATCCTGTTAAGAACCTGTCTCTTCTTCCAAAAGCTTCTTCTCCCAGACTCACCCAAATATGTAAAACTCTCGGCTTTCCTGTAAAAACAAGTCAAGAGTTCTCAGAGCTGTGAAAAAAGGTTGGAAAAATAATCCAAGTATAATTCAGCTGCTTTGAAACATGAAGACAGAGGGGGAAGGAAAAAAAATACAACAAAGTCTCCAGAGGCTTGCACTTTTAGGCCCCTCGTGAGCTGCTCTAGCATGAGGTGGGAAGTGCCACCAGCGTGACCCACCCGCTCCAGCTCTTCACCCTCCAGCCCTGTCCCCCTGAGCTCTGCACGGGACAGAACTGCAGGAAAAGGCTCCAGCTACAGCCCCAGCCTGTGGGAAAGACGCTGCTCCACTAAACCCCCACCTGGGACCTGCTCCGCAGACACTTCCCAGCTGGTGTCCTGGCCGGCGGCCGGGCCAGAAGCGCGGGGGCCTCCGGCAGGGCACGGCGAGGCCGGGGTGTTTGGCCCCGCCGGAGCAGCCCTACCAAATCCTGTCACACCTCCGGGATTTCAGCACCCAAGGCGTGAAACGGTGCGAGCAGCACGTGCTTGGCCAGCCCAGCCAAAAAAGGGGCTGTCGCCAGCCTGCCCGACCACACCGCGGCCTACAAATGTCGCCTCCGAAAGCGCCGTGGGCTCGTGCGGTCCCAAGGCCAGAGGCGGGCCTGGGAGGGGAGAGAGGGGGATCAGACAAAATGCTACAGCTGATGGAATAAATCAGGGCTGACTGCACTGGCTGAGAAACCCTCTTGTTTAACTCGAAGTTGTGGACCTGAAGCAGAAGAAATTCTCCATCCTGTGCTCTGCAGGAGATCAGACTAAGCGGTCATAACAGTCCCTCCCGCTTTTAAGAGCTATTAATCTCTCCACAGAATGTAGCAAAACAGCACTCCAGGACAGCCTGATTTCTGGCAAAGTTGCAAAGACTCTTTCCCTGGGAAAATTTTTTTCAGCAGCAGGTAATTCAGAGCGCAGCCAACTCGCTCTGCTGTCTGCAGCTCTGTTCTCAGTGTCCTACCAAACCCCTTAAAAACACACAACACAAACCAAGTCCATTATTCACCTCCAAAAAACCCCACGGGCAGGGACTGTGCAATCAGCAATAGGAGCACTGGGGAACACGCTCCAACAGTCAGGATGGGGAAAGAAAATAAGCTGCAGGAACATATAAACACTCAGGAGTCATAAGAGACGAACCAAACCCTGTGGCCCCTCTTCCAGCCCTGACCTGACCCCGCTGAGCACGAGCACCCTGACCCTGGTGCTTGCAGTAAAATCTTCTCATTTATCTGCCCACAGCCCTCCCCCGCAGTACCAGAGGCTCAGCTGCTGCTCCCATCACTTCCAGGGAGTGCTATGTCCAAGAAGAAACTCGAGGATTTGCAGTTCCCCCCCTGTGACGTCCCTTTCTCCCAGGTGCCAAAGTTCAGGTTCGGTGAGCACAAAGCACATCCCTAGCGGCCAGCTAAAGCCACCGCTCCTCCTTCTGCCCAAAAAAGCGGCAAAATGAGTGTCCAGAGCAGACGAAAACCCATAACCCCGGAAGACTTTCGTGGCACGACCCCCCCCCTGCACCAACGAGACCCCAAACAAGAGGTGGTAGGACCCCGACACACGCGCTTTCACATGCAGGAACAGCGCCCAGGGCGGGGACCCTCTGGCTGCGAGGGAAGGGGATACTTACACATGCCCCCGATGACCCCGGCAATCCTGCAGAGCCACCTGTACCACCAGGTCATGCCATCATCGGCGGAGGGAGCCGCCGGCTCAGGGGCTGCTGCTTGGAACTGCTCATCCTGAGCGCTCATCTCCCCCCTGCTCCGGGGGGCTCACGGGGGGCAATCCCCCCCGCTCCCCACCTGAGCCCCAGCAGCGCGGGATGCCCCCCCCCCTCCTCCTCCAGGTGACACCCCCCTCCTGTGTCGTCCCCCCCTTCCTCCAGGGGACAGCCCCTACACCCGGCCCCGGTGCTGCTGGGCCTGTCCCTGTGCCCCCACGCAGGGCCGGGCCCCCCCCAGGGCTGACAATGGAGGGTCTGTGCCTGCAGCAGCAGCAGCAGCGATGCCAGCGGAGCTGCCTCCACGTCTCCCCGCGTGTGTTGCATTCTGGGTCCCCCCCCACCCCCCCGGCAGCAGGCAGGGCTTTGGGCTTTGATGTCACTCTCATTAAAAGGCTGGTGGGCAGAGCCCGCTCTCTACATATTCATAAGCAGAGGCACAGCCTCTGCACGCCCGCGCCAGGGTCTAGGGGCACGGGAGCTCTGGATCCCCTCGGCACACAACTGGGTGTTGTTACCCCTGCAGGCAGCGTTTGCTCACCCAGAAAGGGACACGTGAATCCTTGCGCTAAGGTGAATTTAACGCTGTTACAAAATTCCCCCCTGGAGATAAGAGGGACACCTGCCCTTACTGGAATGGAATCATTTCCCCCCCTCCCCCCCAGAAAAACAGGAGCAGAAGTAGGGCTTGGCAAGTCAGAGATGCCCCAGTTGGCAACCTGTTGGTAATCCAAACAAATGGTACAGCGAAACACCCTGAATTCTCTTAAATTATAGAGGCAACAGCTGCGTTTTTTGCAGATGAACATGGAGGACATGGTCAGTAACCAGAGCCCAACTCTGCACAGTTGATCTGGAACGATAAATACCAGTGAGACTTGGGATCCAGAGCAGAGTAGGAAGACAGATCCCATCTGCTAGAAGGTTACAAAAAAAAAAAAAAAAAAAGGATTAAGGAAAGGATGTCCTTTCATTACCATCTCCTGTCAGACAGGAAATGAAGGCCCAGTGCCTGCATCACCCACGCACTGCAGTGGGATAGCTGATATATCCAGCTCCTCGAGGATCTCGCTTCAGGAATCTACTTTCTAGCTCTTCCAGGAATGGAACGTAAATCTGGAGACTGGCAAGCAAAACCAATCCAGGTTTAACAGGCAAAAAAAACAACTATTAATTAAGACGAATATTTGTGGTTGTGAAAGGATGTCAGAGAATCCAACTGAGAGAAAGCAGAAGCAGGGTTAAAACTGCCCAGGCAGAACCACTTATTGCATCCAGCATTAAGAGCAAGTGCAGATGTGTTCAGCCAGGCTCCAGGTGCAGAAAACACCCCTAAAGCAGTATATTCTGATTGGAAGATGACAGATTTGGACCAAAGCACAGTCCAGTGTTCAAGATATTTAAAAAAAAAAATAACCTAAAAAATACATTTAAGTGAAATTCGAGCTAATATTTGCCACTGCTCTAAAATCCCTCTCCCTGCTACAACTTGCCCATGCAGTCTCAACCACCGTCCTGCAAAATGAAGATACAGGTTAAAAGCACAGCTACTGTTCATATTTGAATAAGTGAGTCTTGGCATCAAACCTGGAATTAAGAGACTTAATTCTTTTATTTTTCTCCCAGAAAAGAAGTGGTGGTATCACTGTTATAATAGTTGAAGCACAGAATGGGTGGCTGGGGAGGGACCTCAGGATGTCATTTAGTCCTCCCACATAAAGCCAGTGTCACCAGGGCTTGCCCAGGTCAGCAGTGCCTCAAGTTCAGCCAGCTCCTGAAAACATTCAAGCTTTGAGCGACCTGTCCTCGTGTGGCACTGCCCTGCACACGTCTCCTTGTGCTGGCAGTTCATCCTCAAACACAGCTCTGCCTTCTTTGTAACATCGTAGAATTTCACTGGGCCCCTGTTTTGAGGGGTGTTTACACTGCAAGAGAGTGTATGTATGGCTAAACCATAACTGCAGCTACTGGTGGGGTACAGAGGTTTCTACTGGGACACTGAGAAATTAAATTACTCTCCTAAGAGGTCACAGCATATTACAGAAGCAGGACCCTGAGACTTCAGTGTCCAAGGCACCACCTGCATGAAATCCAACCAAAACAGACAGAAAATCCATATGAGGAATATTTGCTAAATATTTGGTGGTTACATGTCTTTTGCATAACCTTTACCAATATTAACTGAGGTCCCAAAGGAGTCAGGAGATACTGTTCTTACTCAACAGGTGGGGAAGCAGTTGTAAGAAGATTAAATGACTTGAGTGCCCTCGAGCACTGAACAGGCAGCAGTGACTAACTGCTCCACAGCCTTTCTCAGTGCAGTGGCCCTGGCCACTTTTATTTGTGCTCAATAGCGTGATATTCAGCCCAGAAATTGATTGGGTGATCCTTAACATTGTCATGGAATTCAATTTCAGCTTGGCTGCCTGTTGACTGCCAGAGGAATTGCTGTTTCCCATGGAACACCATCGTCTTCATGGTGCTCACATCACGGACCTGCGTGGAGAAAGACCAAACCATTTTATCTCAGCAGCCTGCAAAGGAAGCGCCTAAAAAAACATACTGGAGATTTGCAAATTGGTCAGTCAGGGAAAAGCTGCCCTGCAAAGTTTAGAAAAAATAAAGTAGATCTCTGTAGTTCTCACTCACATCGGTGTTTACATAACAGAGATCAGAGTCTGACTCTGATTTGTGATTGAACCGGATGGAAATCCCAAAGGAGGAGATGGGTCTGTTCCCATCCAAATCGTTCCATGTGGGTTCCTGACTCACCAGGATGTAGTTGAAGTGTGT